TTCACTTCTGTAGCCAAAAAATAAAAATGAATTTGAAAAGAAAACAAAACGACAGCACTGAATTAACAAACAAGAGTTTGATTAATTAAGTAAAAGTGTCTTCGCGAAGCAAGGTTCTTCCTTGTAGGGGTGATTTTTCCCACCTGATTGGTTCCCCCCGAAATTAGCATAAGTGGAGAAAAGAAATAAGCACGTGGCCCTTTACTCATTTCAAAATCATTAATATGAATGTAGGACAATTGCATAATTTTTTCTTGAGATCTTTTTGGTGCTATAAATTCTAAAAAAAGAAAAAATTTTTTTGATATGATCCTTTCGCTGGAAAAACGGCTTAAGTCGATTTTAGACATTTTGTGAAAACTTAAATTAAGGATTCATTTATAAGTTATAAGAGATTTAATGCATTATTATCCATATTTCCTTTTCTACTACAAAGGTATACTACTAGTCAACAAAATTTCATAGTAAGAGCAAAGATTTATGTATTATTATTAATTTAAAAAGTTAACAAACATAGAAAGACTAAAGCCGTTTTTCGAAACATCGAATGAAGAATTCAACAAATAATTGTTTTTAGTCAGAAAAAGTTGAATACATATGTCACAAATAATAATTATTTGTTACTTTCATATAGTCTTTATTCAAAATTTATAAATAAATCTTATATTTGAAATAACGAAGGTTTTACATGACATTATAAACCGTTCGTTGGAAAAACGTATTTTAAAAAACTGTTTCTATCGTATTATTTATCATATAAAGTATAATAATTAATTAAAATTGTTGATTTACTAATCATTTTAAAGTTTTATTTCGAATTTTAAACTACGCATTATTAGTAAACTGCGTCACGACATTCGGCCGGCGCGTAGTTTAAAATTCGAATTAAAACTTGAAAATGATTATTATACAACAATTTTAATTGATTATTATACTTCATATGATAAATAATACGGTAGGAACAGTTTTTTAAAATACAGCAAACGTTTTTCCAGTGAACGGTTCATATACATTCAGTGAGCATTTTGACAGATGAGGAACAGTTTGATGACGACGAGCTGTCCCAGTAAAAAACTAATTCAGATGAATTGAAATGAATTAACTTTTTTGGCAAGGTCCAATTCGTATTTGTATCTAAGCAAGATTCAGTGAAGCAATTTATATATTCAATTCAATTCGTACCAATAAGTTTTCATCGGTTGAGAATTCAAACAAAATGACCGACTCGTCTTTTGAATTTGTGGGGACGAATGATTATGCACCACATGTCAATTAACCGAACAGTCATTTAACCGAAATGCAATTAACAAAAGAGCCAATTAACCGAATTGTCATTTGACCGAAACGTGACTTAACCGATTGTCATTGAACCGAAAAGTCAGTTGATTGAATTGACAATTAACAGAATTGTCGTTCAACCGAATTGACATATTACCAAAATTTCAAATAACCGAATTGCCAGACAATAGAATTGTCCTTTAACCGCCAAGTCAAGTAAAAGAATTGTCATTTAACCGAAACGTCAATTAACAGAAATGTCAATAAACCGACATGCCATTTAACAGAAATGCCATTTAACCATCTCGCCAAATAAGAGACTCGCCAGTTAACAGAATTGTCATTTAACAGAAAAGTAAATTAACCGAAATGTCAGTTAACCGAAATATCAATTAACAGAATTGTCATTTTACCGAAAAGTCATTTAACCTAAATATCATTTAACCGACACGTCATTTAACAGAATTATCGTTTAACCGAAATGTCATTAAACCGACACCATTTTAGAATGTGAGTTCACTTTCTACTGAGTATATATTTTTGTCGGTAAAGTAAACCTAGAGGGAGATCTGCACACTTTCTTATATTATAGTGCCCTCTAGGTTTACTTTACCGACAAAACCATATACTCAAAGAAAGTGTACTCACATACTAAAATGGTGTAGGTTAAATGACATTTCGGTTAAAAGACAATTCTGTTAAATGACGTATCGGTTAATTGACTTTTCGGTTTAATGACAACTCTGTTAATTGACGGGTCGATAATATGACATGTCGGTTAACTGACGTTACGATTAAATTACAATTCTGTTTCCTAACATGTCGGTTAATTGGCATTTCTGTTAATTGACGTGTCGTTTAAATGCTGATTCTGTTAACTGACGAGTCGGTTAATTTAATTTTCTGTTAAACGACAATTCTGTTAATTGGCGTGTCGGTTAAATAACAATTCTGTAACTTGACTTGGCGGTTAATTGACGTGTCGGTTATAGGTCAATTCTGTCAAATGACAATTCGGTTAATTGCATTTCGGGTAAATAACTGTTCGGTTAATTGACATGTGGTGCATATTCATGCGTCCCAATTTGTGCTGACGATTTGAAAAAAATTAAAGCTCAAAAGTTTGTTCATTGAATTAGTGCGAATAGAGAGTTTGGAAGTTGAATACAGCTTTGTCGAATTTAGGAGAATTGCAACATAGTTCCAATTCAAATTTGTCGCTAAGCGGGATTCACTGAAGCCCGTCAGGGTGTATTCATTTCAATTTAACTGAATTAGTTTTCATTTGCTGGGTTATTAAGACTTCTTGTTTGATATATCAGTGCCAAAAAATTTAATAATATTTTTAGAATAGGTTTTATTTTTTTGAAATTTAGTTTTTGCAACTAAAAATATGAAAACAAATAGATTATCTTCGTTATGAGCAATTCCATGGGATGTAATCACAAGAATTTTTGATGATTGGAGCAATTTTATTGAAACCTTGTGAATATGTTCCTTTATTTGTACAGAATGAAAGCCACAAATAATTTTTCAAAATTTTCAAAATTTTTTGAGATATCTCTAATTAAAAATTTATGTCATTTTTTTAAAAAAAACCATGTAACTTTTTTTCTTGTTATCCAAATGAGATCAATTTTTTTCAAAATTCTCACAAAAAGATGCTATTTTAAAAAATGTAATGTAATTTCTACATAGGAATTCATGTGGATTCTTATATAATTTCTTACATGTTTTTTCATCAATTTCTCATATCCATTTCCTTCATAATTACCAACATTAAAACGTATAAAAAATATCATATGAAATCCTAAAGATTTCCTTATATAAAATTTTACATAAATGTATTAATGTTGAAAACCATATGGGATTCCATGTGGATTCTTAATTAAAAATCAAATAATATTACTGCAATTTATCTGAAAAGAATATAATTTGTGCTTTGCAATACACCTTCTGAGGTGTCATGGCTACTGCTGCAGTATAAGGAAAAATAGTTTTTCACTATTTTCCTTATAACTTCTTTATTTTTTATAGAATTAATTCCAAACGTTTAGAAATACTTCTTTAATATGTAAGGAAAAACTTTGACGCCAGAAGTTTTTCCAGAATGAAAATTCCCTCGATAACTTTTTCAGTAGAAGGTTGAAAAACACATATTTTCAAAATTAAAACTTTATTATTATTTAATATTAAATAATAACAATTTTCTTGATTTTTTTATGATTGTCGTCTTTAATAGTATAAACTGAATAAAATGCACCAAATTTCAAAAAAAAATCCATTAATATTTGGCAAAATTACGACGAGTTATGTTTTAAAAGTCCATTAAATTATCGTAAAAAAATTTTCTCCTTTTTTACCTCTATTAATTTTAATATTCGTTTTATAAAAAAATCTCAAAGGAAAAAAAGGTGCGGATTTTCATTTCCTACATGATAGCGTTTTTAAAAATTTGAATTTTATTTTTTTCCATTTTTGAACCACCAGACTGGTTGCAAGGCGGCTGCCTCAAACGTAAGTCTCCTTATAGAATCGGGGTCCTCAATTATCTTCAGTTTTTTATTTAATTTTCAAAATTGTATTCATTAAATTGTTGTTGGATTGATTTTGTTCGCGAGTACTATTGGGAGAAAAGGACAACGAAGAATCTCTTGGTCTTTTACTTTGTGACTTTTACCCTTAACCCCTTCACAGTCAATGACGTGTATACACGTCATGGCATAAGTGGGCTCAAACTGTCGATGACGTGTATACACGCAAGCTGATTTGTGGCTATATAAACAGACATATTTGTCCCAAAATTGTTACTCGGGGGTTTTCGGGGTTGCTGATTACGAATCCGAAGTCAGTTTTTAAAATTTTAAAAATTTAAAATGGCGGATCCAATATTGCGGACGACTTTTTCAAAATTTGATCGGTTTCGCTTGAAACTTATTACTCGGGGGTTTTCGGTGTCGCGGATTACAAATCAGATGCCAGTTTTCCAAAATTTTGAAAATTCAAAATGGCGGATTGTTTTTTACTGTCTTGATTCACGTTTGTCATAGTCTGTACAGTACTGTCACTGTCTTTTCGTTGAAGGCGATTGACTGTCAATTGTTTTCGTCATTGCGTTGTTTCTGTGTCGAATGTGTTATTTTTATGCTTCTTTTCACTTTCAAAAATTGTCTCATCTCTGTTTTACTAAATCGATTAGCAATTGTTTTTTACAGTCTCGATTCCCGTTTGTTATTGTCTGTACAGTACTGTCACTGTCTTTTTCGTTGAAGGCGATTGACTGTCAATTGTTTTCGTCATTGCGTTGTTCCTGTGTCGTCTGCCATATTGGATCCGCCATTTTAAATTTTGAAAAACTGACATCGGATTCGTAATCAGCGACCTCAAAAACCCCCGAGTATCAAGTTTCAAACGAAACCGATCAAATTTTGAAAAAGTTGTCCGCCATATTGGATCCGCCATTTTGAATTTTCAAAATCTGATGGAAGATTCGTAATCAGCGACCTCAAATACAATAGTATACTTGATTGCGCAAATTTTAGTTTTTAAAAATGTTGGTGACATTTTGAGCCCACTTATGAGATTTGGGTCTCGGCTGTGAAGGGGTTAACTCACTTTCGGAATTGATTTTTAACTGTAAAAATTGTACTCCAACTCCGGTTGATATTAACTCTCAAAATTTTTTACAGTTTACTTTTAATCTTACGTCTTAAACATTTTAGGGTTCAGCAATAAGAAAATTCAAAAACTTCTACATTTGGATTCATCAACTGATGCAGATAATCAGGATTTTGCAATAGATATAAGAGATTCAGCTATCATATGGGTAAATGACATTGAAAAAGACTCACAGTATAAAAATTGGCCAGTATATTTGACAGAGCTTTTACGTCCAACTTTTCCTGGAATGCTGAGAAGAATTCGTCGCAATTTGTACAATTTAGTTTTAATAATTGATCCCCTGGATTCAGATTCAATGGCTCTTTTTTCTCTTGTTGAATCTCTTTATTCACATTACACTCCTCTTCGTATTGGTTTTGTATTTGTTATGAATTATAATACTTCCATCACTGGACTCCAAGATCCAAGTATTGCAGTAAATAATGCCTTTCATTATTTTGTTGATAGCCAAAAAAAGCCTAAAGAAGCTCTTTACTTTTTATCCAATGTAAGTATATAATAATATTTAAAATTGTTTTTTAAAAATACTAATTCATTGTTTTTTAATACTTAATACGTACATTTTTAATGATTTAATTAATTTTAAAGCGTTTTCTTAATCATTTATAAAAATATTTTTTGTATACTAATTTTAGTTGAGAAATTTTATCGGGCCAAATGGAGCAGAAGTTAATGATATAAAGAAGGCAATAAAAGACAGAGATTCAAAAGCAGATGTTAATTATATTTTAAGTGAAGAATCTGAATACGATGTGGGTCGACATTTAGCTTATGATTTTGTGAAACGTACGGGATTTAAAACATTTCCACAGGCACTATTAAATGGAGTGCCTCTTTCCTCAAGCCAACTACATTCCGATTCCTTTGAAGAGGCTGTTTTATCAACAGTAATGACTCAAACACCATCGATTCAAAAGGCCATATACAAACGTGAAGTAACTGATGGAGATGATATAGTTAAATATTTAATGAACTTACCAAATGTGATGCCCAGATTAAATGAACGAGTGCTTAAAATGGACAAGGATATGTGGCTGAATCTTAATGGAAATGTCCCTAAGAATACAGAAATTATAAAATGGAGCACAGAAGATGCTTCTGCTTGGTTTATGGAAAATTCACGATATCTTTATGTTCCTCGAAAAAGAACTACTCGACATTTATATTCTTTGTGGATTGTTCTCGATCTTGAAGAGGCAGAAGGTAGAAAGCTGCTCACTGAAACACTCGAATATTTGGTAAAGAGTTTAATTATTTAAAAAAAATGCCTAGATATTTAAGTTAAAATATGATTAATATTTATTTATATTTAAAGGAAGGGAATGCCCACACCAGAGCTTCAATTATAATAAACAGTGCTAATAAGGAATTATCGAAATCTTCTATTAACGTAATAGCAATAGCTGCTATCAATATATTACCTCAAGAAAAGGCAATAAATTTCTTACGAAATTTAATCAAAGATGAAATTGTAACACAAATAGAAGAAAATAATTATGAGATAGAGGTAATTGTTATGCAATTTTTGGATATGCTAAGTTTTATTTTTCTAATATCTATACTTTTCCACAGGACGAATCAATATTAAATTTGTTAAAAGACACGACATTTTTATGGGGCATTAAAAATGTACACAGTCATTATGCAAAGCACGTATTAAAGCTTTCTCCAAGACAAAAGTCGGTCATATGTAACGGTCGATTAATTGGACCCTTTGATGAAAATGAGGAATTCACAACTGAAGATTTCTCTCTTTTAGAAAGATTCAGTCAGAATACTTACGGTGAAAAACTGTTTAATATTTTAACGAAAAACAATTTTCTTGAAGAAGACGATGACGATTATGGTAAAATGAAATTTATTAATTTTATTCTTTAATTTTTTCAATTTCACCCTTTTTTTAATATTATGAAAATGAACTCTAAATTATTTATTTTTGAAATGTCTTAATAGAGTAAGATATTATTTAATAATTATAAAGTGAGAAGACCTAGAAAATTTTTTTAACTCAATCTCTAAACTTTCAAAAACTGTTGACAACCATATTGGATCTGCCATTTTGAATTTTTAAAAAATGGTTTTAACAAAAAGCAAATATAAGATATTATTATTTTTTGAAGGAGAAAATGAAGTAACTGACGATGTGATAATGAAAATTTCATCCCTTCTTGTATCGAGACCACAAACTCGAAGTCGATACAACGTAATGTTCAATGGTGACGAACACAGGTAAATATATTTTAAAGAAGAATTTTAAAAATAAATTAAACACAACTGATTGAATATAGATAAGTATTTTTTGCGATCAAACTTCCATCATCATCAATTATTTTCCCTTAGATCCTCCTATCTCCGGTTAGTAAATTCACCTGCTTTTTTGATATCAAATTTTAATTTTCGTTCTGAACACAAACCTAGGTCGAGATAAAAATCTTTAAAAAAAAAAATTTTAAAGCGGAATTAAAAAAAACAGAATATGCTCCTAGAAACAGTTGCCATTCTTGAATGTAGGTGATTAATATAGTTCCCTTTTTTAATTTATAACTCTTCATTTTGTATTATATACACATGTTTAATTTATTTTTTTAGTGCTATAAAGATTGCAGCACCTGTATCCGATGAGGTAGCTTTCAACATAGTCGCAATTGTTGATCCAGTTTCAAGAGGAGCTCAAAAGTTAAGCGCCATTTTAGATGTACTTCAGAAGTCTCTAAATTCTAATATAAAAATATTCCTAAATTGTCTGGAAAAAAACAGTGATATGCCACTCAAGAGGTTAGTTCCAAATATCTTAAATTACTTTTCAATATATCGCATTGTCGTTTGAATCGTTATGATTTTTTTCTCATATTATTAGATAAATTGATCTGAATTATAAATGTCAGTTCATATTCATACTGAAATAAATTTCAGTTATTGTAATTTAAAATTTTAGAAAAACATTGAAAAAATCTTGGACGCACAGAGTTTTCATTTTTCAATTTCCCAAAGTTTCGAGAATGCTGTAGGCGTTCCTTTAAAGCTGAATTGTATTTTTTTCTTTAGAAAAATAAGACGAATTGTTTTATTGAGAATTCACCTTTAACATTATCACATTTTCAAATAGTTAAATTTGAGTGAAATATTTTTTAAATTTTTCAGCTTTTATCGTTTCGTCCTAGAGCCAGAAGTACAGTTTACTGTAGATGGGGAAATCAAGGGATCTCTAGCTACTTTTACAAAATTGCCAAGTTCTTCACTTTTAACACAACATATTCATGCACCTGAAAATTGGCTTGTAGAAGTTGTTCGCAGTGTTTACGATTTAGACAATATTAAACTGGATAATGTTGCGATGGGCGTCCATAGGTAAGTGTATCTCTCTTAATCTTCTTAACATTTAACAGCCACAAGGAATTATTTTAGTTTATAATTAATTATTAATTAATAATTTATAATTATTTAATTCTATCGACAAGAACAAAATCCTGCATTGGCAACACAATGAATAATCACTAAAGAAATTTTGGATATAATTATTAGCAATTAAATAAAAATCTAACGCCGCTCTACAGTTGGTAACAAATGAGACAGGATGATTTTTATTAAATAATTATTTATCATTGTGCTTTTGCAGTGAATTCGAGTTGGAACATTTGCTTCTTGAAGGACATTGTTTCGAAGCAACAGTAGGCAATCCACCTCGGGGTTTGCAAATAAATTTAGGTACTGAAAGAATTCCAACGATGGTTGATACAATTGTGATGGCAAATTTAGGATATTTCCAATTGAAAGCCAATCCTGGTGAATGGATATTGCGACTTAGACAAGGAAGATCTTCTGAAATTTATGACATTGTAACTGTAGACGGTCAAGATACAATTCATGAAAAAAATGAAGTTAAAGTTCTTTTAAGTTCTTTAAGAAGTCACGTTCTCAAATTAAAAGTTTCAAAGAAACCTGACAAAGCTAAAATGGATTTATTGTCAGATGATGATAAGAATTCTGGAATTTGGAATTCTATTTCCAGGTAAGCTAATTAACGAGTCTTTTAAAATAATTTTAAAATAGTATTAGCGTTTTATTTAGGATACGCAAGGGCCTCTCCACTTATTTTTTTTAACGTTCGAGAAGTCCGTTATTTTCCTTTATATTTGTACTCGCCATTTTCAAAATTTGTGGGCTAAAAAGATTGGCATTTTGTATGTCTTATGTATTTTGCTTTCTGAAGAGAAAGCTTTGTATTGGTGATAATTTTTGAATTCCAAAATTCGGCTTTAGAAAGGGCCGGTCAAGGGTAGATGCGATCTTAGCGGTTGTTCAGAAGGCAAATAAAGTCAAAGTGAGAAAAAAGAAGGGATTTTGTGCGCTCGTAATCATCGACATACCGACCGCGTATCGAGGCGATGAAACGTAAAGCCGTATCAAAGAATAGAGTTTTGGTTGGACCGCACAGTGGGGAGAAATTGCAAATTAGCACACATCGCAAGCATATTTATATTAGTGCATGCATTTGTGAAGTGATTCTTAGCGCAATACTCGCACCTGGGAAATTTTGTTCTACACTACGAGGCAAAAATGGCGATATCGTTGACACTTAAAACATCTTTTTGGGGGTGTAATAAGCATCAACAAGCCAAGCTTCACAGTGTTGATTCTGATAGAATCGGGGATGGAAACTTCCGAGAATATAAATTCTACCCTTGATGAAATGATTCCATCCTGGTTAGTACGGCGCCTTATAGAAATGATTTAAGATCGAATGCTATCATTTAGTTTTAAACTAATGTGAAGGGAAGAAACCTCGATGTCCATATCTGAGTCTAAAGCTTTACGGCTAACTAATGACGCAGGCATAAATAATTTATAATCCTTAAAAGGGAGGGGGAGAATCCTCAACAAAACGGGGATCCTAAGAGAGAGACTCATTCTTCCAAATCAACGGATATGGAAAGACAGGAATTTCTTGAACTTCCTTCGACATTTCCGCACCCTCCACTTTATTCGCTACCAGATTGTTAATAATAATCCTGTCTTAACCTTGGATAAACAACGATTTCGACATTTTCTTAAACGACAAATGCGAATCCATCATCTCTGTCCAACTAGACGATTCCAACTCTGTTATTAACCTCAGATTTTAAAATCACTTCACCACTTTCTGATAGTGATCTATTTGTCAGTCTCACTCGAAATGATTGCGCTCCACTTTGTTGAACGACAAATGCGAATCCATAATTTTTGGCCAACTGAACGATTCCAACTCTGTTATCAATCTCAAATTTTGAAAGCACTTCATCACCTTTTGAGTTGAACTATTTGTCGGTCTCATTCGAAACGATTACGCTGTAATTGTGTTTGATGTTGAACGGTAAACAATTATTATTTGTATAGGAAAGGTTTCAAAAAATCTACTATTAGTTTTATTCGATTAATTTTCAAATTTTGCTTTTTTAACTAGCTTTAACTATAAGAGAAACATTTAATCAGTTTTATACCTCGAAAAGGTTCCCTGAATCATGGCTGACGACACTAGTAAAGTTTATCCCCACACCGGAGGGTAAAGGGCTACGTTCAATTTCCCTGACTTAAGCCTAGTTAGGGACACTGAGCAGTGTCATGATTCAGGTAACCTGCCTAGTAAACTAATGGAAAGATTAGTACACTATTGGCACTTCGCTGAATTCATTATTAGAATATTACAATTGACAGAAAACAATTTTTTTTGACAACATTACAGTAATCTTTTAATTTGTCCGTCTTTCCAATTGCATAATAATCCAAAACCATTTAAATTAAAAAGATTATTTATAATTACATGTGATTTACATTTTTCTTTTAAAAAAGTTGCATAGTTTTCAAAGCTCATTGGATTGTTAGTCAACACATTAGACAATATTTCTTGAATTTGGAATATTGTATCTCCAACAGCAACAATATTATGGGGATAAAATTCCTGCAGCGAACTAAGTGAAAAAAGGTGATCGGATCGGACTGTAACTTGCACATAGTTTAGCCCTAGGGTTGAGTAATTTAACCACCAAGTATTGTTAGGTTTTTTCAAAAACTGTCGTAGAGGGAGGGGGTTGAATTTTTTTGAAAAATTTAAACAGTGAATTTTTGAAGACTTGTAACTTTTAAACAGAAAGAAGAAAAAAAAATTGTTCTGTATGTTTTCAAACGGGTTTTTCCTGCTCCTTCAAATGGCGCAAACAAATTTTCAAAAATTCAAATTTTGACTTTTTTTTGAAAATTAAACATTTTTTCGAAATTTTTTTTAAGTTCGGTCCTTTTTATTTTTTTTATTTATTTATTTTTTTTTTGAAAGATAAAAATGTGTATTTTTACAACAAAAATATTGAGATGTCCTTTTTTGTTATTTTCGAGATATTAATTAATTAATTAATTAATGTTAATAAAAAATGAAATACTTTACAAATAAATAAAGTTATTGAAATCCTGAAGGTACCAATTGAAAGCTGACGTAAATTCGCATATAACGAGCCCTATATGGACTATTTTGGATTAGAGGACTTTTTATAAACAATTGCCATGTTAGCCAATTGTTTATTAACAATATACTAATCCAAAGTACTTCATATAAGGCTCGTTGGATGCGGAATTTTGTCAACTTTCATTTAGTAATGTCAGAATTACGATACCTTTATTCGTTTATAAAATATTTAATTTTTTATTAACATTAATTAATTAATTAACTAATATCTTGAAAATTACAAAAAAGGACATCTCAATATTTTTTAAGGTAAAAATGCACATTTCTAACTTTCAAAAACAAATAAATAAATCTTTAAAAAAAGACCAAACTTAAAAAAAGTCAAACAAATTTTTGATTTTCAGAAAAAAGGGTCAAATTTTGAATTTTTTTTTCACCAATCGAAAGAGCACAAAAAAACATTTGGAAAACATATATGACAAAAATTTTTTTTTCTACTTATATAATATTTACAATTTTTAGTTAATTAATTAATGTTAATAAAAATTATATATCTTATAAACGAATAAAGGTATCGTAATTCTGACGTTACTTAATGAAAGTTGACAAAATTACGCATCCACACGGAAAGAAATCTTGTAAGGATATTTAATATTTTGACACTCATATTTAGTATATTAAGTTACAATTGCGGAAGATTTTTCAGATTTTGGGGTGGTAATAACTTTTGTTACTTTTTTTAAGAATGCCTAAAATAAAAATAATAAAGTTTAATATATTTAGAAACAAAAATTAGAATAGTTTTTGCAAAATTCATAATTGTATTATGAAAACTCCAAATGTTAAGTTCTAATATGCCCTGTAACAAGTATTAAAATAAAATATTTCATTTTCTGTATTTAGAATTCCGTTAACTGGTATAATCATTTTACATTTTGATATAGTCGATAAGAAAGTGGATTGGTGTTAAAATAGTTTTATTCCTTATATTGGACATCGCCCCTTATATTTACATATAATACTAATAGAAACTTTTTCTTTCAAAAAATGATAGAAAAATATCAAAAATCACCGAAGTTTGACGAAGTTAAGCGAGTGAGTCCGATCGGGTTTGACCGATCACTAACGAGTAGTCACGAAAAAAAAAATGTCAGAGAAAAGTCAGGGAATTTTTTTCTTTAAGCCTTGCTGGACATCCTGATTTTAAAATAATTTTTAATATTGCAATATGAATTAAAAATAATTTTAATTAATATTTAATAATAAAATACTTTATTTGTTTGCTCATAATTTTTATATAATTTTTATTTCTGCAATATATAGACTAGAAAAAGTTTTGATAAATAATTGTTTTAAATTATTCAATATTTCTTTTTCTAAATATTATAGAATATTTGTTATAAGTTTGCTTCTATAATTAAATTAAATGATTTTATGATAAAAATTGTTCTTTGAAAGGTAATAAAATATTTTATTATTTCTTAATAAATAATTGTGACGCGACGCAAAGAAAGGTACCTAAGAAGGCAAAAATCGATTTTCGGATTATGATTGTTTTCGATAAACTAAAGATTGCTTTTCAATTATCTGAAGTCAAAATTAATTTTTATCTAATACTTTTCTTGTAATAACGATTTAAAGATGAACAATTCGTGCTAAGAGTTGATTCTCTTTTTCCTCACGCACACATATCTACGCTCCCCTCTCACTGTAACCATGCGCCACTTGAAGTTCGGGTCGGTATTCGTGATTTAGAGAGAGATGCGCTGACTACACCGTTCTCTCTCACTACGAAAGCACGTGTACGAGGTGCATCTCTCTTTACTTGCCGAAGACGGCCGAATACACAGACGCTAACTCGAATTAGTAGTGGGAAACGAGAGAGAGTAAGAGATATCGGAAATTCTGCGCCGCGTTCTCGCTTGTTCTTTTCCCTCTCCTGTACAATTGCCGTTTGGCTTCTTAGGTACCTTTCTTCGCGTCGCGTCACTTATTTTTATTTTTATTTTTAAATATTTAACAATGTAATATTAAGTTTCTCACAAGTGCAGAAAAATCTGCTTATTTAGTATATAAAGAAGTTCAGAATTTCTCATTTCAGCATGAATTATGTATCTATATGCGTTGCGTTATTCTGCGTTTATGTATGCGTATTGTCTTTAGGATGTGTTAGGAATAATTTTAAGCCAATCAAAGCGTAACAGTTATGTGTGTGTATTAAGAAAGACCCCCACTACCCTCGAATAGAAAAGGAGAGAAAACCTGAGAAAAGAGCCATTCGTTTCGACGTTCTTCTTTTTTTCACGGCTCCTGCTTTTTCGTATAGTTTTAGCAAATTACGAAATGTTAGTTCTTGTTTTTCGTTTAAATTTAGTAAATAAGAAAGTGCTAGACTGTTTACTTCCTATACTGTTTTTTCCTATAGTTTTTTTAATATTCGAAAATTGTAGATTTGAATTAAGAAATAATAATTTCAGTTTTCGTAAAATGTTTTCAGTTTAAGGTATTCGTAAAACTATACCAACTTTTATTATCAAACCAGAATGTTTCGCAATTGAAAAACAAAAATATCAAAATTTCTATTCAGATTTATTAAATATCCTAACAAGATTTCCTTCCGTGCAACGAGCACTATATGAAGTACTTTGGATTAGTATATTGTAAATAAACAATTGGCTAACATGGCAATTGTTTATAAAAAATCCTCTAATCCAAAATATTCCATATAGGGCTCAAGGAGTGAAAATTCTGCAGTTAGCTGACGACATACTGTTATGTCAGATTTAAGGACATTAATGAGGCGCAGGCCGAACCTTTTTCCAACTTTTCTTTAATAAATATTCAATATTAAAAAAATTAAAAGTATCAAATATTAAACTATTTTTAAGATAATAAAAAACATTTTATTTATTAGTAGGTATTATAAACTTTTTCTTGCAGCGAAAAATTTTAAAAATTCATAAAAATGTTTATTTTTGGTAAATTTTTAAAAAGTTTCCTGACTTTTAATTAAATTTTCTGACTTCCCTGAGTATAGTGCTCTTAGTATAGTCATACATCATGCTATGTAAATTTTTTTGAATTCTTAATACACGGTTGGCCTGAACTAAATTTTATTCAAACTTTCAGTAACTCTAAATGTTTTTCCTGATTCTGAATTTATATTTTTTTAGCATTATTTTAAGACAAAAAAATCGACGCAGGGCTTTTTGAGAAAAATAATTTTTTAACAATATACTAAAAACTGAGTTTTAGTTTTCCTTCACCTGGCCAAAAGTCCAGGCAAATGCAAGTGCTTCTAATAAAAGTCGGTCTACAACCGAAATTTTAAAGAGTTTGTGAGTTCAAATAGTTAAATAGAGTTGTGAGGAAATTGTAAAGACCCCTAAGGGATATACAATGAAATCAATATTAATCACTAAAAACTGAGCTACAGAGTTGCCAGTTAGACTCATTTTGTTTGTATTTTTTTAAACAGTCTAATAAACGTTAGGGTATTTAAAACATAAATAGGATTTAATAGGTCTAAAAGTTTTTAATTTGACAAACAGTGTACACCATAAACACACTTTATTACGATTTTGCTCATGCGTTACAGCCGGATGTGGCATTTTTTAGCGAAATACAATAAAGAAATTACAAGTAACTGACAGTACTAAGCGTGAAGTAAGTAAAACGTTTGAAACAAACTACAATAAAAAAGAACGCAAAAATAAGCAAAGCACGGTTTTTTTAAACAAATCAATTTTTTTCTAATAGCCCTCCGCCGATTTTTTTCTTTTAAAATAAAGCAAAACGAATATAAATTCAGAATCAGCAAAAAATTAAGAGTTACTGAAATTGTGAAAAAAATTTAGTTCAGGCCAACCGTGAATAGTTTTCTATTTTAAATAATTATATTTCATAAATCATTCACTTTATTTCTCCTTTGTTGATAGTCTCATGAATATTTTTTATTAAAATTTAATTTGGCACGAAATTTCTTATTATCTTATTTATTATGTTCCACAACAGGACATTTACAAATGAAGAAAGTGAGGAACAGGATGAAAAAATTAACATTTTCTCTCTCGCATCTGGACATTTATATGAACGTTTTATAAAAATTATGATGTTGAGTGTTATTAAGCACACTAAAACTCCTGTCAAGTTTTGGTTTCTAAAAAACTATCTTTCTCCTACTTTAAAAGTAAGTATTATGTATTGCATATAATTAATTAAAATAGTTGTTTTTTGAGTATTTATTCAGTTTATATCATTTGTAAAATTTTAAATACTAAATGACTTAAATGTGATACACTTTTTTTAAAGGATTTTCTTCCTGAAATGTCAAAAACCTATGGATTTGAATATGAACTTGTTCAATATAAATGGCCACGTTGGCTTCATCAACAAACAGAAAAACAAAGAACTATCTGGGGATATAAGATTTTGTTCCTAGATGTGCTATTTCCTCTTGATGTAAAAAAAATCATTTTCGTGGATGCTGATCAGGTATTTTTTTTTCTCCTTACCCTCTAGTTATTCCATTAGATCTAAATCAATATTAAATTTCTAGGTTGTTAGGGCAGATTTGAAGGAACTAGTGAATATAGATTTAGGAGGATCACCATACGCTTACACTCCATTTTGTGACAGTAGGAAAGAAATGGATGGTTTTCGTTTTTGGAAACATGGATATTGGAGAACTCATCTTCAAGGTCGCTCCTATCACATTAGTGCTTTATATGTTGTCGACTTAAAACGTTTTCGTCGAATTGCAGCAGGAGATAGATTAAGAGGACAATATCAAGCTCTCAGTCAAGATCCTAACAGTCTTTCTAATTTGGATCAGGTTAATCTCTAAAACATATTCATACATTTAATTTTATTCAATTTAATCAATATTTATTAAATATTATCCACTAACAGGATCTTCCAAATAACATGATTCATCAAGTTTCAATAAAATCATTACCTCAAGAGTGGTTATGGTGTGAAACATGGTGTGATGATAAATCAAAAAAACATGCCAAGACTATTGATTTGGTAAGAAATATTTATAATTCTAATAACATTTTTTTCATTAATTTTTTTATATAGTTGTTGCGTTCAGAGATAGTCAAATTAATTTAATAAATTGCAGTAAAAAGAGCTGATTTAGTTAAGTTAAATTTAATACTCAATCGGAAAATTGCTAAATGTCGATTATTTTACTTTGCCTAGTTAGATTACATATACGGGTCGATTTTTATTGTCTAAGTGTTTTGTACCAAAACTTTTATTACATAATATTCATGTGTAACGTTTACATTTTTTTAAAGAAAACCTTTTTTCGCAACAATTAACGGTAAACATTGCCAAAATTGAAAGTTAGAATTTTATTAATTTGGTGTTTCTCTTATAGTGCAATAATCCAATGACAAAAGAAGCTAAATTACAAGCAGCTATGCGTATTGTTCCAGAATGGATTGGTTACGATGATGAAATAAAAGCATTGCAACAAAAAATAGAAAATGACTCTATACATAGTGAAAGTGAGAAAGATGGTAAGAAACAAAATAATCGAATTTCCTAAACACTGTGGGGCATGATTATTTGAATGACGTTACATTTTTAGATTTTTTTTCGGTACAATCTTTATTTTCTTTACTCTACATATAAATTAGATCAAAATAAATGAAAACAGCCACTTGAAACACTTTCGTCTCCGATTTTCAAGTTTATGTTTTTTGATAAGTTAATTTCAGGGATTATTTTTTAAATTACAGTTAATGAAATCGGCCTTAAAAGTTTTAAGACATTTATAGATAAAAGTTTTTTATGTTACGCAAGAAGACAAAATATAAATTTTTATATTTGTTAATTTACAGAAACTCCTGACTATTCTACGAATCACGAGGAGCTTTAGATTTAAAATTTGAGAAGGTATCTCTTCTAAAAATGTAGGTAATTTTTGATAAACAAAATGATTTACGGTGTGTATACATATGTATAATTGATTGAATGTTTTTCTTTTACGACTTTGTGATTTTATCTGTATTGTATAAATAAAAACCAAACAGAATTTTGCTAAACAAGGTGTATTTGTAAAATCCCTACCAATTTTCCTAATTTTAGAATTTCTTAAATAAATATTTACGAAATTGTACATTCGTAGTACAGTTTTCATAAAAATAAATTTTCAAATGATTTCTTGAAAATGAAAGAAAACAAGGTTGGAAAATATCAGTGATAGGATCCATTGAAAAGAAAAATAGAAAAAACTTGTCAAGTGAAAGATGTCATTAGGCACTTTAGACCCAGCCTTTGTGATATATGGCTTCCTTCGTAAAAATTACAAACTGTTTCCGGACCACTATGGAATAACTCTGAAACTAGAGACTAAATTCATTTCAAATCGGGCATGTTGAAAACATTTTTTTTAGAAAGATATAAGGATTTTCATTTTCTAAGTCTAAAACGTCGTTTGCCTAAATTTTAGGAAAAAAACTTTCAAGTGTTATAACTTTTAAAGTAATTTTGATATCTCTCTTTTTTTCATTTAAAAGAGCTATAATTTTTCTTTCAAAATCCGTTGGAAAAATTAAAAAATATTCAAAAATAACAAAATGTCGGCCATTTTTATATAATAAAAAGCTTTAAATTAAAATTACTCAAAAACTCCACTTTTTTTTGCTCAAAATTTTTTGGTGGATTGTCTTCACCGTGAAAAATATTTTCTATAAGAATTTAACTTGTGCCCGATTCTGGTAGAAGAGAAAAAATTTTTTTTATTATTTTTTAAGAAATATTCCATTTTTCTCAAAAAATACACTAGTTATAAAAAAATTTCTTTGATAAAAGTTGTTTCGCTTTAAAAGATATGAAAAAATGTCTGTTAGCATTTTGCGTTTTAAAAAAAAATTGATTTAAAGCTCATATTTATTATTATTTTCTAATACCAGTAACAGCACTATGTAATAAAATATATTGAAAAAATTGGGGTCAATCCATTATATTTCGAATGAAGTCGTCGCTGACTAATTTTTAAAAATTATAATACTTTGCAGGAATGATTTTGAAGTTATCAAGATCACGAAATGAAAAGAATTTTATTAAAATTTTAATTATTTATTGCAAAATATGAATTTAAAGTTTATGAGGTGCTGAAAACTGTCAATTTTTTAGCCATTAGAAAATATGCAAAAAAAAACAGAATTTACCATAAAAATAAAAAAAAATTGTTGTAATTTACTAAGAATGAATAAATTTATCATTATCAATTGATATAATTATTTAAATATGTGAAATAATATATAAAATATGATTTTCAAGTTCGCCTGTCAAATAACCTAAATTTGCAAATTTCATCTATTAAATGTGAGAAAGAGAAGTCATTAAATTGAAAAAAACGTTACCAAATATAAAGTACCTGTGACTAACTTTTAGTTTTTCTTAGCACTTTTTTCCTTTTTTCTTCATAAATGTGAAATAAAAAGCAATAAAAATTGGCACTTTGCTTATTTTCACTATTTTCAAATGTAAATAACTTTCTTGGAGAAAACTGAAAAATTACAAAACTTGGGCAATATCTAATTGATCACTAAATACACACACTGGAAAAAAATTCGCTTTGGTCCCGAAGATACTTTTTGAGATAATTAAGTTTAAACTTTTCACAATTTTTATCAGGTTAATGCATGTGATTTTTATAAAATTGAAGTTAGTTCAAAATGTTTAACCAATAAAACCTAACTTCATCCTTAAAAAACTACTTCGTTATTTACTAAATTTATATGAAAATTTGGAAAGATTATTTCGAAATTTGTTAAAACTATACTAAAAATTCGAAGTGGTTCAGTCGTGACAGATGACGACAGAAACACCAATAGATTCTACGCCAAAGTTTTATCTCTTCTTCTTCTTCTTCTTAAATGACTTTAGGCCTAGCCGAGTGTCAGAACAATAAACTTAGAAGACGAAAAAGTTCTAGAATACACTATATGCTAAACTGTTGGTAATACAGGTTAGACAACAGCAAAGTAAATCCAGCTTATTGGAAATTGAGATTGAATCAAATATATTGTTCGCTTGGAAACGGACAAGTCGAGTACAAGGAAAATGACTTTGCCATACGTTGAATCCATTCATGAATCATAATAAACTCCCATGAGAAGAATACATGTGAGAATTGAATTCAAAACGTATAGGCCATACATTGATATATATAATTGATCTCAATAGCAATTTCCAAGTTTCAATCGGAAAAAATAACACAATGGTTGCTTAAAGTGAGACCACCGTAGTCAGGCTCCCTCTGGGCAAAACAATGAGAGACAAACTCAAGTTGTGAGGGAAACATCAATTGTACTTGTAGCGCGGTAAAATGTCAACACCGGGTTTCAAACACTTTAAATATACTTAAACCTTGAACAAGGGGTATACAGTTAAGATATTAAACTGTCGAAGACCACAACACTACAAGGTGACACCACAAATATACAAAAGATGTTTACATAGATCTACAAAGCATTGTAAACAACAGAGGTCACAGCACAATAACAGTGAGCCGTCTCAAACTCAGATAAAACCAGAAAAATTTATGAAAGAACACGCGGAACAGAATGAAGCAATAAAATAGATTCTCAGGATGACACAAAAATTTTATATATTTTACAAAAGGTTGCGATGAGCGAGGGTAGAAGTCACACTCGCTTATAGAACAAAACTCAGAACTGATCAGGATTAGAACAAACTTCGAAGAACACATCAGAGAGCACGTGGTAGAACGAACGTTTTAATAAAAAGGTTATATAGTTGCTTTCAGAAGCAGAACAAATCATAAGTATTTACTACACAGAACTTGACTAAGATGAACTAAAACTTGTTTGAAAAAATAATAGGTAGAACAAAATCGATTGAAAATGCATGGAGTGCCGGAACATATTCCGTCCGGTCACTACCGCTGCCAAGTTAGAACTCCAAGTTTTATCTCTTTCTCATCTCGAGGATAGACGAGGATATGAACTTTTAAATGCACACACACATACACCGCATTGTTTTACATCGATTGGCTTATTTTTATTCCTAACCTATACTAACGATAATATGTATAACATTCGCAGAATAACGCTTCATATACAAATTTACGCTCATGTGAAAAACTGATGTGACCATTCTTATATACTAACCAGACATATTTTACACCGCTTATGAGAAAGGTGAAATTATATCAAAACATGTTTAAAAATATAAATAAAAATCATTATTTATTGGGAAATAATATAAATATTTTATTATTTTTTGAAGAACAATTTTTTTACTGATTTATTGTAAAATCTTCGAAATTAATTATATAAAAGAAATTCAGGTCTGTATCAAGATAATGGTAAAAAGGGGCTTGTCTAAAGAGCTTCGTCAGTCTTCGTTACCACTCGGTGAGGATCGGGCAATTCCGAACGTTCAACTTCGGCAAATTTCGTCGAATCTCGTTAACTTTGATATTTCTTTTTCAATTTTCATATCAAATACATCAAAATCTGAAATAATTATATCATTTTATACAATTCTAATTACGAAATTTGAAATATTTGGTTAGAAAAATTGATAAAGAGCTTATTAAAATTTGACATTTTTGTGTTTCAATAAAAAGATTTTCAGATTTCGTAAATATTATATCAAATTTTCTTTCCAACTATATTAAATATTCTTATTTTAATATCAATCATTCTTAAAAATAGTATCGAAAATCGTTATCATAATACCATAATATCAAATATTGCTACAAACTTTCTTTCCGTGTAACAATTCATTCATTACTTTAGATAAAATTTTCTTAGTTTTTGGTCGAAAAATACATTTCTTTCCCTAAAATTATAATTTTCCTTTAAAAATTTGATAAAAATTAATCATTAACTCCAATCGTGCTCATAACTTTTTCCCTGTAATTTTAAAGCAAAAATACATTTGTACACCAAATATGAACTGTCTGGATTGAATATTGTGTGCGCTAGGGGGGGGGAGGTAAACCGTTTTTTTCGAATTTTTTTTTCCTTGACAACGCTATGTAAATTGATCTGAATCAAGTTCGCTATATTTTTCCTGTAATTTTCACATAAAACTACATAAGTGTACCAAATTTGAGATCTTTATGGCAAAAGATGTGGCTAGTAGGGGGGGGGGTACATAGTCATTTTTAGGCATTTTTCGTAAAGATTCATGGGTTTTCCTTGACAACGCTATGTCAAGAGATTGGCAGTTAGATTGGCTAGATTAGATAATCTCAAAAGACTTCTCCAAAACAAAAATGAAAATATTTTTTCCTTCTACATTTAAATCTTTTTAAATTGAAGTAAGCCATTGTTCTTAAATCAGAACGTTAATTAAAATTCAGATTTGAATTTTGAAGCAAACAAAACATATTCTTTATTCCTGTAATCCATGATTTAGAGTAGTTCTTTAACCATTCGTCTGTAAACGTTTTTTCAGCACCTTCTGTTAATGTGCTCAAAAAAATTCTTGATACTTTTTACAACCCTCAACTCCTTATATTAATGATAAAAATGCTAAAAAAATTTATTGTTGCATTTATTTTTTATAAACAAATGGAGAAAATCAGTTAAAAAAACAGCTATTCATTAAAAAATCATAACTTTTTGAAAAAATAAGATATCTAACCGTTCTAAACGGGAAATTAAAGATTAATTATGTGGCATTAAGAAAAAAAAATATTTTATTTTATTCATTTAAAAATAAATGCTTAAATTTGGATAGGTAAAACAGTCCATACATCATGTATTATACATTGGTAAAACACAATTTATTTTTAAAAAGTTATTAAATTATTATTATTTTATCTTATGAAACAAAAAAAAATTTTTTTTACTTACCTGCGAGTCGAGTGCACGCCGTCTGTAAACGTGCGTCAAATCTGTGCCAGCGAAAATATTTAAGTTTATTGTAGCTGCCAATAAAGAACCCAGACAGCACCGTTTTTCGCAGGGAGTTCGCGGGGAGCTCCCCGTGTTAAGTTCGGAAACTAAGTTGGGGAGCTTCAGGGGAAGTTCAGGCGAGCTCTATATGTCCTCGGTTTTATAAC